GCGCGCCCGAGGCTGCGCGCGTGCCCATCGAGTCCGAGAAGGGCCGAAAGGCGCGCGAGAATGCCGGGAAGAAGGGGGAGGGCCAGGTCGAGAGGAAAGCTCGCGAGCAGGAGCTCCTGGCCGCTCGCGCCTTGGCGCGTTTCCCATGGGCATGCGTCGAGGGGCTGTGGATTCTGGGGGCGGGCGAAATCTCGTCGGTCATCGCGTGGCAGGCCGCGACGCCGCAGGTTCAGCCCTCCCGGGCGAAGAAGATCGGCGATGGGGTCTCTTGGGGCACAGGGTGCCTTCGAGCCAGTTCCGTTGGAGCTCGGGGGGGGCCAGCGGCGCTTCGACGCAGGCTGCGGTGATATGACGTAGTCCCTCGGGCGGGGGCGGAGGTGGGGGCTGAGGGGTGGGCGACGGGGTGGCCATGGCGACTGCTCAGCGGAGGTGGAGGGGCAGGGGGTTGGGCGTGCCCCCGGACGGCGGGGGGGCGATGTCCATCGCTCAGCGGAGGTGGAACGCGATGGCGATCGCTGGGGTGCGTGAGGTATTTGGGCGAAGAGATTGCGGTCGCTTGGGTGAGCATGGGAGGGGGGCGAAGCGATGGCGATCGCTTGGGTGAGGGAGGGAAGTGGGGCGAGTCCATGGCGATCGCTTGGGCGAAGGGGGGTAGCGGGCGAAGCGATGGCGATCGCCGGGGCGGGCGATCGCCGGGGCGGGCGAGGGCGAGCGCGTGGCGGGGCGAGTTCCGAGGTCGCGCCAGCTCGAGGGCGGGGTGGCCGATGGGCGTGCTGGCCCCGCGAGGGGGCGGGGTGGCGCCGTCGGCTCGCGCGATGCCGAGCGGCGTCGACTCGCCGATCTGGTCGGCGGAGTAGCCTGACGGGCAGGGCCCTCGCGCGCGTCGCCCAGAAGCTCATGGGGCTTGGCCGCGCGGAAGAGGATGCGCGTCGCGCGATCCATTCCACCGTTGATCGCCCGATGCGCTCGGGGTGACCGTCGAGTTGCCCGTGGGCGATGGCGACCCACCCATCGAGTGGAAGCTCGCCTGGGTCGACGAGCTCCTGCGACGCATGTGCCGCGAAAGCCCCGCGTGCGAGGAGCTATCCGCGATGGCCGTGGGCCGCTCCCGTGGCGCGCCGCACTCCCTCGTGCTGCATGTGGGCGAAGTTGCGCCGGGCGACGCCTTTGCTCCGATGCGCGATCGGACATTCTGATCGATCTTGGTGAGCTTTGCAGGGGGGCTGTGGCTGCTGCTGGGGTGCCGGTGGACGTGTGTGAGCGCTCGTGCTCGCGTGGACAGTGGCATCTCCTGCGCCGCTGGGCCCTTCCCCGGGGTTGTGTCCTTCGGGCGCAGCAAGCTGGCGAGCGCGAGCGCGCCCGTGGAACTGGTCAGCGGTGCCTCGGCACTGGCGCGGGCGCGCTTCGGCGGGCTTCTCGCGTGCGCGGGCTCGTTCGAATGCATTTTCCGCGGGGGTGGGTGGGCGGCTGGGGGCTATGTTTGAAGTGCGAGCACGACATCAGGAAGGGTGCTTCCATCGTCGGCGACGGCGGCTATCTCGTCGACATCCGTTGCCGCGACCGCGCGTGCTTCGACGGGCAGTCAGACGAGGACGTTTGGAAGCCGTGGGGCGACCTCGCCGCGGCGTGGGCGGCCGCGGGACTATCCGGCCTCTTGAGGCAGGCCGACTTCGGAAAGTTCGACAAGGCCAGCGGCTTCAATTGCCGCCCCAACGGCTTGCTGGGCGGTGAGGTTGCGGGCGCGTGCGAAGCCGTCCGCCGCGCCCTATGGAGCAACCTATGGAGCAAGGGCGCCATTGGCTGGGAGGTGCTGGGAAATGCGAGGGCGTGCAAGAGAACGGGCGGCGTCGAACTTTCCGTTTTTCGCGCGTGCGCGCGGCGCTGGCAGTTCCCACGCATGCGCAAGCCGGCCAGCCAGATTTTCGCGCCTGGGCGCGATGCCGCGTGCGAGAGATCATACGCAGCCGTTGCGAGCGAGCTGGTCTCGCTCGTCCATCTCGTTGCCGAGGCGCGCGTCGTTGGCGTCGAGTCGTTCGGGCGCGAAGTGGCGTCCGTTCGGGCGCGCGGTTTGCTGGCGGACGCGCGCGCGTGAAAGTCGAGCGCGGGATTGGCGCCCCTCGCGACGGCGTCATTGCAGCGGCTGAAGTCGTCACAGGCTTGCACGAGCTGTGACGCCCGCTGCGTACTTCGCGGATTGAGGGCGGGTCGGTCTAAACGCGTGGCTCTCGCCTTAGCGCCGCGCGCGTTCGTTAAAACAAGCGGCAATAATTTCACGGATTGAGGGCGGGCCGTTTTCAAAATGTGGCTCTCGCTGATCGCCGCACGCATTCCTTTACAACGGAATTGCAAGAGTTTCGCAGATTGAATGCAGGTCGTTTTCAGCTTGTGGTTCTCGATTTCGCGCCGCGCGCACTCGTCGCAAATAATTGCAAGAGTTTCGCGCGTTGAGGGCTGGCTGTTGCAAAATATGGCTCTCGCCCCAGCGCCGCGCGCATTCGTCTCAAACATTCGAAATTCTTTCACGCATTGAAAGCGGGCCGTTTTTTAAATGTGGTTATCGCCTCAGCGCCGTGCGCATTCGGTTTCCCACTATTACAATAACTTCGCGGATTGAGGGCGGGTGGTTTTCAAATTGTGGTTCTCGTGTTAGCACACCGTGCATTCGTTTCAAGCGTGTGCAAGTCATTCAGTGAATATCTTCGTTGACGTACTGAGGCATGGTGCTTATGAGCGCTTCATGACAGTCAGGTGCTGACGTCCAGTCAGGTTAGATCGTGGCAGTGAAATGTTGAGACATGTTTTTTTTGCCCGTCCAGGGTTTTCACATGGTTTTGTCCGTGCGGGGCAATTCCCTCAGTGGACATGAACCCTTTTTCTAGGGGCCTGTGAACAGCAAGCTTGGAGGGATAGTGTATTCCAGGCATAATTGGTGAGTCTTGGGTTTGCATTGCTCCTCCTCCGCTTTTGTTTTTATCTCCTCCCACCTTTTCCTCCTCCGCCTCTTCCTCCTCCCCTTCCTCCTCCTCCTTCTCCTCCCCGTCCTCCTCCTCCAATTCTTCCTGCAGGCTATCCGTAATGAGCGATCGGTCCAGGCTCCACCGCCTCTTCTCGTCCGAGCAGGTTTCTCGACTCCGCGGGGCGGAAAAATGAGGAAAGGAACTTACATATGTCGGATACGAAAGCGGAGAAGGCCATACTGAGGAGAGCAATAATGAGATAACGGGGAAGACGGTGAATCAGAAATCAATAATGGTAATATTGGGGAAAAGAAGGTCATGCCGAGGAGGTGCAGGAGTGAGCGCGCGGCGCGGAGCCCTCACCTCGCCTCCCCCCTCACCTCCTTTGAGGCTAAAGACTCGTAGATACCAAAACAGTAGCTTGTAGCTGTCGGTGTAGTACTTTCCGGCGGCAACCTATGTAACTTGATACGTAACAAACATGTAGCGCTAAATCGCTGAGCTACCCAGCCCAGATATTTACTATGCTTATAGCTCTGGTGCAAGGCCCCGATCCGCCCCGCGGGACCTCCTCATGGGACCTCCCCAGGACCCCTCCCGCCCCCCTAGCGGAAAAGGGACAAAAGGCACGGGTTTCCCTCCGACGCACTTACGACATTGTTCGATCCCTTTTGTTTGTTCGATCTTCCTTGCGACGGCGACGACGATTCAATGCTGGCATACTTCAGTTTGGTTCGGGATGGCATCGAGTCGAAGGGCCTCTCGCACACGCCGAGTGGGCTTGCTCAGATTACGTGTTGTCACAGCACTCTTTTTTTTGCTCTGTCTCTCTCTCTCTCTCTTTCTCTCTTTCTCTTTTCATTTTCGCAACATGCGACAAAGCTGGCCCCTTACGCGCGCATTCCTAAATCATTCGAAGGCCCTTGCGCGCTTGCTGGCGGGGGGCGCGATCCCTGTCGAATAATACCATGTAGGCCACTCGCGCCCGTCGGCCGCTCGCGCATATCGAAACCTTCCCAAACCCTTGATCGCCGACTCGTGGACACCATCAGTTGCATCGGCGTGATCATTATCGGCGCCGTCATTGGCCTTGCCGACTTCGTCGTCACCAGCATCGCTACTAACATCATCGTTTTTGCCGATGTCGACGTCGGCATGATAGCGCGCCCGCCCGGGTCATCGACTCGCACTGATCTCTCCGCGCGTTAGCGCGGCTTGCGGGACGCGCTGGGAGGTGCCCAACGGTCGGCGCCACCGCGGCCGCGTCGGTCGCGCCAGACTAGCTCGCGACTGTGCGCACGAGCCTGGACGCGCTACCGCGGCCGCAGCATTGCGCCAGCCAGCGCCAAGCAGTCATCGCAATCGCCGCCGCATGGGTTTTACAAACCAGGTTGCGGGTTCCTGGGTGGGATGATTGTGCGAAGAGTGGAACAGACAACTCACGAGTGAACATTCGAGAGGTGCACCACGTGGCTGTACCACACATATCGCCCCACAATTACTGCACAACGTGTAATGCTAGAAACGCGGTGTGTTGGGGTCCACGCTGGTTAACATATTCATTCATTTATATATTCACGTTTGTGTAGAAATGTATTGGGCCATGTTGGGGTTGCCCTGCGGCCAGCTTGCAGCCACGTCGAGACCATTTGCGGATCGTGTAACCCTCTTTGGGCCGCCCAGGGGGCGCGGTGGGTTCGCGTCGCGTCGACGCCGCGGCGAGCCCACCGCGGGCGTCCAAGGTTGAACGTCGCCGGTTGCACCTGCCAGTCTGGAGCGCTCTGGCGATCGGAAAGCCACGGGCAGTTGGAGGTGAAAACATCTGGCAGGTCCACACGGTGTCGGAAACCAGCGCCGGGGTCGGTTCGACACGAAGTTGTCGCATTCTCCGGTGACGTGGCGCTTCGAGGTCTCATCTTGACACGCGCTGGGGCCGCGCAGCCGCCTCAGCATTGGTTTTTGTGTTGTGTCGATGCCTTGCGCGGTCCAATGGCACCTGTTGCGGCCGAATGGGCCAGTCCCCCCCGAACGTTGCCCTTCGAGGCCGAAGAGGATGAGGATGAGGAAGAGGAGGCCGAGAGGAGGAGGGCCGTGGAGGCGGCGGATGCTCAGATCCGACGGCCTCCGGCTGTGCCCCGCGGGCCCCGCGGACCCGGAGATCTCGGCGTCGCAGTTTTGATGCAGCGCGCGAGTCTGCCCTGTGTCGGCGCCCGGGGCCCTCCCGGATCTTTCCGGCTGCAAAGGTGCCACAGTAAAATGGGGTCAGGGCTCTGGCCGAGTTCGTTTTCTACGCTGCTGTAATTTGTTTGTGACGTCAGATCTCAGGTTCCAGTGCCTCCCAAAATTCTCGCGAAGGGGCGCACAGGAAATCGTCTCATGGAGGGGAGCAGTGCTTGAGGTGGCCTGCGAGATGCTGCTTGGAGGGCCTGGGGGGTGTAAGAGCCAGTATTGGGCCGATTTGTTCGAACGTTTTACCATGTGATTGAGAGTCTCAGGGCACACTTGCGGCTACGCGTTTCAAGCTTTTGGAGGCCCACGGGCCAGCAGACCGAGGCGATGCCAGCTTCCTGGTCGCTTATTCTGCCAAAGGCAGTGCCTCGCTCTGCCCGGCATCTCTGCAGTCAAGCCGCCTTCATCGAGCTCGGCTGCCCCGAACGATGGGGCGTCGGATCAGGGCGGCCGCGGAGGAGGCCGAGAGGAGGGCGGTGGAGGAGGCCGAGACCAGGGCGAACGCGGCGGCAGAGGAGGCCGAGAGGAGGTCGGCGGAGGAGGCCGAGGACAAGGCGAAGGCGGCGGCGGCAGCGGCGGAGGAGGCCGAGAAGAGGGCGGCGGAGCAGGCCGAGGCCAGGGCGGCGGCGGAGGCCGAGAGGAGGGCAGCTGAAGAGGCCGAGGCCAGGGCGAAGGCGGCGGCGGCGGAGGAGGCCGAGAGGAGGGCGGCGGAGGAGGCCGAGGCCAGGGCGAAGGCGGCGGCAGAGGAGGCCGAGAGGAGGGCGGCGGAGGAGGCTGAGGCCATAGCGAAGGCGGCAGCGGAGGAGGCCGAGAGGAAGGCCGCCGAGCAGGCCGAGGCCAGGGCGAAGGCGGCGGCGGAGGAGGCCGAGAAGCGGGCGGCGGAGGAGGCCGAGGCCAGGGCGAAGGCGGCGGCAGAGGAGGCCGAGAGGAAGGCCGCCGAGCAGGCCGAGGCCATAGCGAAGGCGGCAGCGGAGGAGGCCGAGAGGAAGGCCACCGAGCAGGCCGAGGCCAGAGCGAAGGCAGCAGCAAAGGAGGCCGAGAGCAGGTCTTCGGAGGACCATGTATGCGCAAACATGCTCGTTCGGAGGATGTTCGCTTCCGGATTTTTTGAGTCGGCGCTGGGCCCACCTTGGTGGTGCCTCCGGCGCCGCCTCTGGCGCGCTCAGCGCGCCGCGAGAGGCGTTATTCCCAGGATCTCCAGTATTTCCAGGATCTCCTAGCTTCCTAAATTTCCACAGCGGCTGCGTAAACCAGGGCCACTAGATTGCCCAGAGATCCTGGAGTGTATCCTGAGCCAACCGCATCATGGCGCCACTCTCGCCTCCATGAGGTCTGCAGAGCAGGCGGCGTTCCAGGCCAGGGTGGAGGCGGCTGCGGAGGAGGCCGAGAGGAGGGCCGCGGAGCACGCGGAGTCCCAGATCAGGGCCGCAGCGGCGGAGGCCGAGAGGCGGGCGGGGGAGCAGGCCGAGGCCAGGGTGAGGGCGGCGGAACTGTCCGAGAGGAGGACTCTAAGAGGAGGATACAAAGCGGCATAAGCTTAAACGCTCGACAGTCCGCGCGTGTTTCTTGGATCTGTGCTCCGCGCGCGCCAGGGAGGGGAATCACGCGCAGACCGTCGCCGTCGACAGCCTGTGCTTATGCTTTTTTTTCTTCCTCGGGACTCGGCGTCGAGCCCAGAGGGGGGGCAAGGGAACGGGGGCAGGCCTGCTCAGGAGGCGGCGGGGCTCCTCAGAAGCCCCTCGCGCTTGCCCCCGCTCGCTTCCCCCCCTGGCTCGCCGCCGAAGGACGGCGGAGCTGACCGAGGCCAGAGTGAGGGCGGCGGCGGAGGATCTCCAGTCTCGGGATTGTCGGAGGACGTTCGAGGTATTCGGACGTTTTGTTGTCGGTACTCGTCGGCTTTCCAGCCTCGGGATGCCTTCCAGCGGCTGCGCCTCGCCGAGAGCGTTCCGCGGGGGTGCCCGAAGCGCCGCCAACGGGTGATGACCCGAAAGCCACCTGGCGTCGGGATCGGGAAAGTCGTGGGCGGAACACATCTCCGTATCCACGGCATCGCGGGCTGGGCCCCTGGGGCGCGACCTCGTGGCCACGGGGGCAGTTATTTCCGCGCGACTGCCCAGCGCGGGACGTATTCGAATGAGGAACGAAACGAACAACAAACTGCATGACATAAACTTCTGGAGCTCCGCTTGCATTGCTCGGGTCGGCGCTGGGGCTCCTCTGCCTGGCGCACGGAGCGCGCCAGGAGCGGCGTCCGAAGAGCCGTCAGGGGGGCCCAGCGCGGATCGAAGAGCTCCGCGCGGAGCTCTGAAGATGTGCTACGTCTTGCTGCCTCCCCAGGAGGCGGGGAGGAGGGGCGCGGAGCAGGCCGAGGCGATGGTACACGCCGCGAGGGCGGACGCCGAGCGCAAGGCGACGGAGGAGGCCGAGGTCAGGGTGAGGGCGGCGACCGAGGAGGCCGAGAGGCGGGCCAGGGAGCGCGTGGAGGAGCAGATCCGACTCTTCGCGGAGCAGGCAGGGTCCGTCTCGATCCGATCGACCCGATCCCAGGCCCCCTCTTGTCGTGACAAAGATCCCGACGGGCATCGTCGTCGTCGTCGTTGTTGTTGCTGCTGCTGTTGTTCTTGTGGTTATGGTTGTTCTTGTTGTGGTCGTGGCTGTTGTTCTTGTTGTTCTGGTTGTGGTTGTGGTTGTGGTTGTGGTTGTTGTTGTGGTTGTGGTTGTGGTTGTGGTTGTAGTTGTGGTTGTGGTTGTGGTTGTGGTTGTGGCTGTGGTTGTGGTTGCGGTTGCGGTTGTGGTTGTGGTTGTGGTTGTGGTTGTGGTTGTGGTTGTTGTTGTTGTTGTTGTTGTTAAATTCTCACTTCTGAAGAATACTTATTATTGATCCCCCCACCGGTGCATACTGTTTTTCTCAATCAAAGTGTGCACCTCGACGCTCGCACCCTGTTTTTTGACAGGGAAAGTCTTGATGCTCAAACTGGGCCCTTGGCCCCCCGGGTTACAACAACAACGGCTCCCGCCTGAGACTTCCTTACAATTTAGCCAGGACCCCCGCTCCCGCCCGAGACTTCCTCGCATTTTATTCAGGAATCGCGCTCTCGCCAGTGACTTCTTCACAATTTATTCAGAAATCGCTCTCCCGAAGCTCTGGAGTCGCGCTCTCGCTGGAGACTTGTTTGCAACTTACTAAAGAATAACTAGCCTTGCGTTGGAATTTCCTGCAGTTTGCCCAAGCGCCGCGCTCCCGACACGCAGGCACCCAGGAGTCGCGCCCGTTGTGGCCCCATGTGCATGCCCTTCGTGGCCCCGCTGTCGCCATTTGTGTCCCCCTCACTGTCCTACGTGGCCCAGTTGCTACCCTCAGTGGCCCCATAGTTGCCTTCTGTGGCCCCGCATTATCTGCCCTTCGTGGCCCCCGCTCGTTCGCGCTCTTCGTGGCCCCATACGGTACGCATTCCCTTTGTGTCCCCACTGTCGCCCTTCGTGGCCAACTTCGTGCCCTTCGTGGCCCTGCTGTCGTTCTCTCTCGCTCTCGCTTTCGCTCGTCGTCGCCGTCGTCGTCGTCGTCGTCGCCGTCGTCTTCGACGTCGTCGTCGTCGTCGTGGTCGGTCACCTGTCCGTCCCTCTTGGGGTCGGGTCGACGGTCCTCCGCCGCCCCGCCGATCAGTGCTGCCGCTGGCCAGTCCGACGGTCCGCGGCCGCCCCGCCGCTTGCCGGGGCCCGGCCTGCAGGGAAGAAAGGTATACCCCCCAAGAAGGGTTCGATCGAAGACGAAGAGGGCGGGTATCTAGGGTTTGGGAAATACGCGTTATTGGACACTCGAGCATATAAGGGCGAACAGTCTTAAACTTATTGTTGTTGTTGTTGTTGTTGTTGTTGTTGTTGTTGTTGTTGTTGTTGTTGTTGTTGTTGTTGTTGTGTTTGTTGTTGTTGTTGTTGTGTTTGTTGTTGTTGTTGTCGTCATCATCGTCGTCGTCGTCGCCGTTGTTGTTATTGTTGTTGTTGTGGTTGTTGTTGTTAATGTTGTTGTTTGTTGTTGTTGTTATTCGTGTTCTTGTTGTTGTGGTTGTTGTTGCGGCTGTTGTTGTGATTGTTCTTGTTGGTGTGCTTGCTGGTGTTGTTTTTGTCGTTGTGGTTGTTGTTCTTGCTGTTGTTCATTTTGCGGCTGTTATTGTGGTTCGTGGAGTTGTTGTCGTTGTTGTTGTTGTTGTTGTTGTTGTTGTTGTTGTAGTTGTCGTTGTTATTGTTGCTGTTGTTGTTCTTCTTGCTGCTGTTGTTGCTGGTGTTGTTGTTGCTATTGTTGTTATTGCTGCTGTTGTTGATCTTGAATTCGCACTTCTCAATCAGAAGTAATGTTGATCTCCCCTCCAGCGACAGTTGCATTGTTCAATTACCGTGCTCCTCCTAGGGCTCACACAGTTTTTTTACGAGGGAAGCTCTTGAAGCTCAGATTCGCCCCTGGCCCCCGACTCATAACAACAGCGGCTCCCGCCTGATACGTCCTCAAAATGGATTCCCAAATCGCGCTCTCGCGCGGCACCTCCCCACACATTCTACAGCAATTGCGCTCTCGCCCGGGACCTCCTCGCAATTTTTACAGGAATCGCGCTCTCGCGTGGGACTTCATCGCAATCTCTTCAGACGCCGCGCCCTCGAAACTCAGGAATCACGCTCTCGCTGTTGCTTTTCTCACGATTTACTTGGGAATCGCGCTATCGCTGGAGACTTCTTTGCGATTCATGCAGGACTCACGCTTCAGCAACCCGCCTGCTAGACCTGGCCGCTTGGGCCCACCTTCCCGACCCGGCCGCTAGGGTCTGCCCGCCCGATCTGCCCGTCTGGTTCTGCTACGTGTTTTCTGCTCCTAGCCGCCTTCCTGCTAATTTCTGTCGCGCTCAGACCTTCTCTCCCCCCCTTCATCCGTCCTCTCTTCCCTTGTTTTAGGGCCTGCGGTAATTCCACGTGGCATGTACTGAAGATATACCCCCAAGGGGGTACGATCGAAGACGAAGAGGGCGGGTACCGATGCTTTGGGATATACGTGGTGAGTGACACGCGAGCAGGCAGGAGCGAACAGTCTTGTCGTCGTTGTCGTTGTCGTTGTCGTTGTCGTTGTCGTTGTCGTTGTTGTTGTTGTTGTTGTTGTTGTTGTCATTGTTGTTGCCGTTGTTGTTGTTGTTGCTGTTGTTGTTGTTGTTGTTGTTGTTGTTGTTGTTGTTGTTGTTGTTGTTTGTGTTGTTGTTGTTGTTGTTGTTGTTGTTGTTGTTGTTGTTGTTGTTGTTGTTGTTGTTGTTGTTGTTGTTATTATCGCTGATGTTGTTGTTGTTGTTGTTGTTGTTGTTGTTGTTGTTGTTGTTGTTGTTGTCGTTTCTGTGGTTGTTGCTGCTGCTATTGTTGTTGTTGCTGTTGTTGTTGGAGTTGTTGTGGTTGTTTTGGTTGTTACTGTTGTTGTAGTTGTTGTTGCTGCTGCTGCTGTTGTTATTGTTTAATGATATCTAAAGAATATTGTTATTGTTTAGTGATTTCTAAAGAATACTTACTGTTGATCTCCGAAATTGGTTCCGCGCGCTCTCGCCTCGACGCCGGCTACATTTTCTTTGAAAAAGAGGCTCCCGCTTGAGCGTTGGTTTGAGCCTAAATGTGGGTGGGTCCTTGGAGGCCCAGCTACGACGACAACGGCTCCCGCTCGATACTTCCTCACACTTTACCCCGAGACACCATGGCCAGAGAGGCCCCCGAACTCAGGAACGGCGCTATCGCTCGAGACTTCTTCGTAACTCAATCAAGTTGGCGGAGGCCCAGGAACGACGACAAGGGTTGTTCCTGCTCGATACTTCCTCACGATTTGCTCTGAGAGCTCCTGGCCAAGAAGGCCCCCGAACTAAGGAGCGGCGCTCTCGCTCGAGACTTTCTCGTAATTCAGGAAAGCTGGTGGAGGCCCGGACACGGCGACAAGGGTTCCCGTTCGATATTTCTCAATGGGTATTCCGAGAGCCCCTGGCCAGAGAGGCCCCCGAACTCAGGGACGGCGCTCTCGCTCGAGACTTCTTCGCACTTCAGTCAGTGGCTGGCAAGGAAGAGTTCCCCCCCGAAAGGGGGTGCAATCGAAGACGAAGTGGGCGGGTATCGAGGGTTGGGGTATACGGAATGCAAGACACGCGTGCTAGTAAGAGCGAACGGATTTAACATGATTGTTGTTGTTGTTGTTGCTGCTGCTGCTGCTGCTGTTGTTGTTGTTGTTGTTGTTGTTGTTGTTTTTGTTGTTTTTGTTGTTTTTGTTGTGGTTGTTGTGGTTGTTGTGGTTGTTGTGGTTGTTGTGGTTGTTGTGGTTGTTGTGGTTGTTGTGGTTGTTGTGGTTGTTGTGGTTGTTGTTGTTGTTGTTGTTGTTGTTGTTGTTGTTGTTGTTGTTGTTGTTGTTGTTGTTGTGATTGTTGTGGTTGTTGTTGTTGATGTTGTGGTTGTGGTTGTGGTTGTTGTTGCTGTTGCTGTTGCTGTTGTTGCTATTCTCGGCCCCTGGGGGCCGTCGCCGGGCTCTGGGCCGTCGGAAAACGACTCGGGATGGACAGACGGCCTCGGGGGAAGGGTCGAGACCTCTGGGGGTCCTCGTTGTGAAGATACCTCTGCGTCGGGGGCCTGAGGTCCGATATCAAGGTTGGCTGGCCCGATCCGATTCGATTTCGTTCGACATTCCCACGATCCGATTCGGCCCGATGTTTGCACGGGGAATCCTGGCGCGACTCGTCCGGTTCGATTCTGGTTCCGTGCCGATGCGGCCCGATCCGCGCGTTCCGACCCGACGCTGGCGCCCCTGGCAGGCCGAGCTGAGGGCCGAGGATCGCGGGCGGGAAAGAGTTCCCCCCCCCTCCTCCTCCTCCTCCTCCCCTCCTCCTCCTCCTCCTCCTCCTCCTCCTCCTCCTCCTCCTCCTCCTCCTCCTCCTCCTCCTCCTCCTCCTCCTCCTCCTCCTCCTCCTCCTTTTCTAGGGATACGGGGCGCCTCTGCTGCGACCCCACGGATGCAGGGCGGCTCTGCGCGACTGTCCTGAGCGAAGCGCATCCGTGCGGATCGCGTATCCATGCAGTCATGCAGGCCTCTCCATCGCGCCGTCGGCGTGCAGGGGATCGGGCTCCAAATCGAGTCGCATCGCCGATGCATCGGCGTTGCGGCGCGATCCTCCGACCCCATCCAATTCGGGCCCCATCTGGGGGGCCTCAACTCCATGGGGTCGCGCCTCGGTGCAAATCCAGGCGATGGACATGGATAAACCCAGACGTACTCCGTCATGATTTTTTGTTTGTTGTTGCACACTGGCTCCCCAGAGGTCTGGACCCCTGCTCAGGGACTGGCTCTTCGTCCTGAGTTGTTTTTCTGACGGTCCCGGGGCCTCGTGATGGCCCCCAGAGGTCGAAACATGCCAGAACCCTTCGTGGTGTCTCTTGTTTCGGGAGCCTTGAAACGGGGGTCAATGCAAACGGGGGTCAGCCAGAGCGCCCGATCTTGCAGGATCCTGCAGGGCCAAGGTCGCACTGACCAGGGTCTGGGCGCAGGATCCTGCAGCATCTTGCAGGATCCTTCGCGTTGACCCGGGTTTGGGTGCAGGATCCTGCAGGATCTTGCAGGATTCTGCAAGGCCTGACTGACCCGGGTCTGGATTGGCCTGGTTCAGCAGATCCCCGATAGTCCACGGCGAGAGTCTAATTAGGCCTCCTAGATGGGATGGGGTCGGAGTAGATGGGGTCGGAGGATCGCGCCGCATCGCCGATGCATCGGCGATGCATCGTCGATGCGGAGCTCGCTGCTCTCCGCGCCGACGTCGGCGACGCATCGGCGACGTCGGCGACGCATCGCCGATGCATCGTCGATGCACCGTCGATGCGGCGCGAGCCTCCGACCCCATCTGCTCCGACCCCGTCCAGGAGGCCTCTGGAGAGGATGCCAGGGGGGCCCGCGCCTCGCAGGCACGTTCCTCGCTCCCCGGGAGGAGCTGGCCGAGGCGAAGGTCCGGGCGGCCGAGCGGGCGCGGCGCGAGGCCGCGGGGGCGGGCGGCGCGCCCGACGGGTCCGGGGGGCGGGCCGCCGCGGAGCCCGGGCGCCACGCCAGGAGCTCGAAGAAGGGCAGCAGCAGACGTCTTCACAGCGCTGAGGGTCGAGGCCTCCCAGAGGGGGTCGGAGTCGATGGGGTCGAACGATCGCGCCGCATCGCCGATGCGTTGGCGGTGCGGCTCGAGGTGGGGCCCGCGTTTCGCCACGCCCACGTCGTCGATGCATCGGCGACGTCGCCAGTGCATCGCTGATGCATCGCCGATGCATGGGCGATGCATTGGCGATGCGGTGTGATCCTTCGACCCCATCTACTCGGATCCCATCTAGGATGCCTCTACTGATGCCATCAGCAGTAGTACAGATAATACTTGAGACTGACAGTAATACGATTCACGCCGATCATACGAGTAGCATTTTTTTGAACGAGGAGAGCAGTGTGATTCAAAGTAAAGTGATAAGAATGATGAGAAGAAGAGACGCGGTCGTTTTGTGGTTGCTGCTGTTGCTGTTGCTGTTGCTATTGCTGTTGTTGTTGTTGTTGTTGTTGTTGTTGTTGTTGTTGTTGTTGTTGTTGTTGTTGTTTTTGATCTTGTTGTTGTTGTTGTTGTTGTTGTTGTGTTTGTTGTTGTTGTGTTTGTTGTTGTTGTTGTTGTCATTGTTGTTGCCGTTGTTGTTGCTGTTGTTGTTGTCGTTGTTGTTTCTGTTGCTGTTGCTGTTGCTGTTGCTGTTGTTGTTGTTGTTGTTGTTGTTGTTGTTGTTGTTGTTGTTGTTGTCGTTGTTGTTGTTGTTGTCGTCGTCGTCGTCGTCGTTGTTGTTGTTGTGGTTGTTGTTGTTGTTGTTGCTGCTGCTGTTGTTTGCTGTTGTTGTTGTTGTTGTTGTTGGTGTGGTTGTTGTTGTTGTTGTTGTTGTTGTTGTTGTTGTTGTTGTTGTTGTTGTTGTTGTTGTCGTTGGCGTTGTCGTTGTCGTTGTCGTTGTCGTTGTCGTTGTTGCTGTTGCTGTTGCTGTTGCTGTTGCTGTTGCTGTTGTTGATTCTGCTGCTCATCTTGCGGCCTCTGTGGGGCCGCCGCCGCGCCCCCCAGGGCCACAAGACACCAGCCCAGGACGAAACGTTGGTCCCCGGGAACGGGTCGATACCTCTGGGGGATCTGCGCTGGTCTGGGTCTCAGATGCCGTTGCTATTTCGTGGGAGGCGTTCGTCGCAACGGCCGGACTCGTCGTGGAACCCCGGGCAGAGCGCACCCCTGGAGAGGTCCGTGGAGTGGTGATGTCTGTACCTTTCTGTCCCCCAGTACTTTTTATTGAAAGAGGTGCCCCGACCAGGGTCTGGCCAGAGGGTCTGGCCTGGAAGGTTGGCCGGGGTTGGCCGCAGGGTCAGGTAGGGTTGGCTAGAGGGTTGGCCGGAGGGTTGGCTGGTCCAGCTCTTCGACAGGCAGCTCTTTCTTCACCATCTGTGTCTTGGCGGAGGTCCGCTAGAGTTTCTTGGGCCAGCGCTGGACCCTCTTGCGGCCCCCCCGGTCCCGCCCCGCGCGCCAGGGACCCCCGGAGTTTCTCGATCGCGATCGGTAGAGACCCATCGGCACTCCAAGTCGATCGCGACCGATTGCGACCAGTCGGTCGCAACCCATGTTGAAGCAACTCGATAGCGCCCGAGACTAGAATTCGAAGCACATCGGTAGCGACCGATGCTGGAATTTGAAGCAACATCGGCAGCGGGAGGGGGGCTCCAGCGCCAGCCCGAGGGATCCAGGCAGGCCTCCGAAGGTTCGAGTTGAAGTTTTTGTGTTTGTTGTTGTTGCTGTCCCTTCCAGGAGCCCCTCGCAGCTCCAGGATCGGTGCGATCGAAACGGGGACGGAATCTGGGCCTCACAGGTGAAGTCCAAGTTAGATGGGGTCGGAGGCCGCGTCACATCGCCGATGCATCGCGGATGCGGCTCGATGCGGAGCCCGATTCTCTCCATGCCGACGGCGCCGATGCGTCGCCGACGTCGCCGATGCGGTGCGATCCTCCGACCCCACCTGCTCCGACCCCATATGGGAGGCCTGTACGGGAGGAACGGGGACGACGACCCGCAGCAGCAGGTCCTGCCCGTCCTGGGCAGGAGTTGCAGCGGGTGCTGCCCTCGGACGTCGCCCCCTCGAGGCACAGCAGGTCGGCTGTGCGACGGATGCCGCCGCAGGCTGCGGACAGCAGGGTCACCCGCAGGGGTGCGAAGGCGACAGCGCTTCGCGCATCGCGGCCCGAGTCGGACCGCTGGCCTCCCCCAGAGGGCGGCGCGAGCCTGCCAAGAGCTAGCTGCGCAGTGCCCATCGCGGGGCGCGGCGCCGCGCGGAGCGAGGCGACCTCAAGCAGGTCGCGTCCCAGACCTCCGTCGTGGCTTCCTCGCAGCGTAGCCGCCCCGAGGTCCGGGCCCCTTCCCCCTGGGACCCTAGTCAGGGGACGATTTTCGGTGCTCTTTTGAAGATTTTTGTTTTTTTTGACTACTTTTTTTTTGTTGTTCCTCCCAAAATCCGCCTGCATGCCCGACCTAATACTAGGACGAGGATGAATCCGTTCCGGAGCGCGCCGGAACGCTCTCAGAGCGTTCCAGAACGCTCTGAGAGGACCGCGGCGCCCGAGACGTCCTCCAGAGCCGCCCAGTCTCAGAGGTTCCGGACTATATCCTTACACCCGAATTTCTTCCCGTCCTGGCTTCGCCTTTTCAGAGGCCCTCCGCCACGACAGCGGCCGCCGCTGGCTGTGGACGGCATCTGCTGCTGGGCGTCGTGCCCAGGCCTCCTCAGGCATATGTTTTTTTTTGATCCGCGGCCCCAGATTTATGTCGGGCGTGTCCCCGTACAGGGGGGTTTTCGACTAAAAATTAAGAATACCCCCCAAATGCCCCAAAAAGGTAAAAAATATATGCAAAACATAATCCCCAGAATATTTTTGGAGTATTTATTTATTTGTATATATATATATATATATATCTCTCTCTCTCTCTCTCATTTTTTCGTCGAAAATCCCCCTGTAGGGGGGACAGGCCCGACTGAACCCCAGATGTCCCGGTCCCGGCCCTCGGGCCGCCTCCCAGAGGTCCCGTTGTGTTCCTGGATGGCTCCCGGGCCCAAGGGTGGGCCCTGGAGTCGGGGCTCGAGAGAGCCTCCTGCAGGATCCTGCAGGGCCACGGGGTTTGGGGTTCGGGATCCCGCGGGATCTTTCGGAGATTGATAGACCTCCTACCCTGACACGTCGATTAGTGAATTGGCCGTTTTCGGTTCGCGAGAGGGCGTCGCGGCCGTCATTTTTGCGGATCCAGGTCCGTCGGTTTCGGTCCCAGGCCGTTTTCACAAGGGGAGGTTTACTAAGGGGAGGTTTGTCCACCGCCGAATCTTGCAGGATCCTGCAACCCTTAACCACCCGGGTCTGGATTGACCCGGGTCAGTAGATCCCCGCTGGAGGCCGAGATCGAGGAGCCACGCCCGGATGGAAAGGATTTGAAACACACAAATTCCCTGAGGTCCGGGGAGGTTGTCTCCGCATTGGTTCGTTACTTCGGGGGTGTCCAGGAGAGGGGTGGTGACCAGGGGGATTGGATATCATGGAGGTGGCCATGGCATCCCCCCAGATATCTTGGCCCCCTCGTCTTCTTTTGGGACGCACCTTGGTCCCCCCTCGGCTTCGCAGAAGCGCTGGGCCATGTTTTGTGACCCCCCCTCTTGGGAGACTGTTTTTTTGTGTATCTTTCGGCGCGTAACGGTCGTTACCCTGGCCAACCCCTCCCTCCCTCCGGGGTCACGGTAACGATCGGACGGTGGGGGGGAGGCTGGACCCCCCCCCACATGCTGGTGCCCGCGCGCATGCCATGGCGATCGCATGGCCCCCGCGCGCTGCCCCCGGGCCTTTTGGATCCACCCCAGGTAACGACCGCTGCCAGAATTTGTAGCACACTGCAACTGCGGGTAAGAATGACGGGGCGGGCGCGGGTGGTTCGGGGAGTGGGATGCGGGTGGGTCGCCGGGGGGTCGCAGGGAGGAGGACAACGAATGCAGCAGCAGCAAGCAGCGATCGGCAAACAAGCAGAGTCCAGACCTCGGGATCCCACTTCACCCACGCACCCGGGGATGGCGTACGCTTGGCGTTGCAAAGCTAACCTGCGATGTGGCGCCACCGGCCAGCTTGTTACACGCTACCCCTTACCTGGAGGAAGGCAGGGGGATAGCGTGCACCGACGAGACCCTCGCAGGGGGATATTGTGCGCACAAGGGGCCCTCGCGGGAGGATCGTCTCACAGGTATATCATGCTTTTTGGAGATCGATGTTGCACGATATCTTTGCAACGCCAGCCGTAAGACCGTTTGGCCCCCTCGCTTTGGTTCGGAAAAACATAATCTTGGTGCTGGATGCCGCAGTTACGTTGCCTGCCGGAGCAGCGGCGCTCGGCGAAGCTGATCTGATCCTCGACCCCGTCCTCTTCCCTCCTCTCTCCTCCTCCTCCTCCTCCTCCTCCTGTTCCTCCTCCTCCTCCTCCTCCTCCTCCTCCTCCTCCTCCTCCTCCTCTATCTCTTCCTACGCTTCCTTCTTCTCCTCCCTCTCTTCTTCCTCCTCCTCCTCTTCCGCCTCTTCCTCTGTTGTTTTTCCTCCTCCTCCTTCTCTTCCTCCTCCTCCTCCTATTCCGCCTCCTTCTCGCCCCCTCTTGGATCTTCCCGAGTTGTTGTTTTTGTGCCCGCTCCGCTGCGCGCCCGCCACGCGAGGAGGTGCACGCCTCCTCGCCCCCGCTGCACGCCGTGCCGCTCTCCCAGGACGCGGCCCTGCCGCCGGGGGCGCCCAGGAAGAGCGCGTCGGACCCGGAGGCGGTGCGGCGGCCGGGGGAGGAGGAGGAGGAGATCTTCGGGACCCAGAACCGTCCTCTTTCGGGGGTGGACAGAACCCCCAACAGTGACACGTCGATTAGTGAATTGTCCGTTTTCGGTTCTCGAGAGTGCGCCGCGGCCGTCATTTTCCAGGCTTGCGCCCGCCAGGTTTGGGCCTCAGGTCGTTTTCACTAAACCACGTTTTACTAAAGGGAGGTCTGTCCATCCCCGACTCTTGGCTCTCCTGAGCGACCCACGATGGCCTCCCTCGTCCTTTTGCTGCCTCTTTCTGGCTCTGGTCGCGGTCTCTGGCACTGGCCCTCTCTTGGAGCTCTCGATCCTGGTCGGGGCCCTCGCCCGGGCGCTGCCCGTCCTGGGGACCATCTCGCCGGGGTCGTTGTCAGGCGATCGCAAGCATGGATCAAGGGGGCGTGGATTAGCGAGGGGGCCCGTTTCCATGGGACGCCGCAGACTTCCGCCGCCGAGCGAGGCGGCACTGGCCGCATTATGGGGAGGGCACCTCCCCCGATCCATGGATTTTTGCGACCGCGCGCCAAATCAAAGGATCGCTAATCCATGTTTGCGCGCCCCCGACGTTGCGCACGACTGCCTCGTGAGAGGCGCCTTTCTTCTTGCTCGGCGGCGTCGCGCGGCCGTTCTGCTGAGACGCTGCGGGCGCATCGGCGCCCCCACAGCTTTACGTCGGGCATGTCCCTCTACAGGACGAATATTCAAAAATAGTCAAAATATAATATGGGGACGTTTTGTGTTTTTGACTGTTTTGGACTATTTCGGGGTATTTAGTTCGACTATTGTAGGGGGACATGCCCGAACCTACCCACAGCTTGGCAAGGAAAGACATCTTCGGGGCTCAAGAGATGGGGGTCGAAGCAGGCGTGGGTCAGCCAGAGCGCCAGATCTTGCAGGACCCTGCAGGGACAGGGATGCATTGAGACCCGGGAGGAGGAGACCTTCCAGGCTCAAGATCATTTTGAACACGACTGGCTGTCCGCGCTGCCGCGGTCGTTGTTCACTGAAGACAAAAAACCGCCTGCCCAACAGCGGCCGCTGTCGGTTTTGGACTTGTTGGGCATTGTACCCTGTTTCCCCGCACCCATTTCGGGCGTCCAAACAAGAGACGGGGGTCAATGCAAACGGGGGTCAGTCAGAGCGCCGGATCTTGCAGGAGCCTGCAGAGCCAGGGTTGCATGGACCCCGGGTTCGGGTGCAGGATCCTGCAGGGTCCTGCAGGACCTTTTAGTATCTTGCAAAGCCTGACTGACCCAGGTCCGGACTGACCCAGGTCAGTAGAACCCCTAGATCTGGGGAGAGACACGGTTGCTGTTGGAGCCCGATGCTCTCCACGGCGGCGTCGCCGATGCATCGCCGACGCCACTGGTGCATCGGCGAGGCATCGACGATGCGGGCCTCGGGACACGGCCGGGCGGGCACAGTTTGCAGCCGGCTGGAGGGCGGGGTGGTCCAGCACAGGTTCCGGCCAGCAGGAAGGGGCTGCGAGGTCCGAGGTGATTGTCAGGAGGGAAAAAACACAGACACAATTAATCGACGATTCCCCAGAAAATATGGGAAAATATGGGCGGTGGGGGGGGGGAAGACAAAAACCAAGAAAATATGGGAGAATATGGGGAATATTTTATTTGTGTGTATTTATTTGTGTGTCCCAGTTCCCCTTCAGAGGTGGTTGGTTCGAGAAGGGTTTTGGCCTTTTCGGTCTCTGGGGGCCAGTCCCAGGTCCCAGGACCGCTAAAAACGGATCCGTGTGAAAAGCTGCGCCAGACGGACCCTGGGAGGCGCCAGGGACATGTTACACAATAGGTGCGCAGACTGACAGCAGCTCCTGTCTATTTTTGATGGGATTCGCTGTCGCGGATGTGGTCCATTTGAGACAAGGCCGCCCGCCCAACCTCTGCCGCTGTTGGTTCTGGACATTATTTGCTGATGGGCATGGTACCCATTTTTTCCGTACCCATGTCGGGCGTCCAGCGAAACGGTTGATGGACAAATTCTTTAACCTTGTATGCTGGTTTTTGTGAACATCCCCGGCGCCCCCAATTGCGGGCTGCGCCGCGATGTCTAGATCTGTCGACTGGCCAAAATCCTGCGCCCCGCTGGTGATGCCAACCAACATTGGATTGGGCGCAGGGGGCGCGTTGAAATTTGCGCTGGCCCCCCTCGCCGCGTGGGTGGTGGAGGACTTTGCCCATCAGCTAGGACTCGTCATGAAGCCAAAGGGGTCCCAGAGGTTTTCCGCCGTTTCTCGGGCCCCAATGGTCCTCCACGGGCCCTGGGACCGTCCAAAAACAACTCAGGTTGAAGAATTGGTCCCCGAGGAGGGCCCCGAGGTTCAGGACCCGGTTTCCCTCAGGACCCTTTTCTGTCATGGTAGAATACAGCGCGCCTCCGTCCTACATGACCCCCCTCCCCCAACCCTGGGAGCGCGCCCTGAAATCCTGGCGTCGCAGTTTTTCACAGCGGACGATTCTGCTCTGTTTCGGGACCCCAGGGCCCTCACGGATCGATACGGCCCGAAAAATGCACCAGAAAGATGGGTCCAGGGGTTTGGCCGAATTTTTGTACGATGTTGCAGTGTTTTCGTGACGTCGGATTCCAGGGCACGTCCATCCCCAGCTGGCCCCCCTTCCCCACAGGAAGGGGGATGTGGGGGTCGGGGCATTCTCTTGGTCAATACATGCTTTGGGGACTTTCTTGGGGTCCACCAAACGGACTCGAGTTTTGGGCGCTGGCTCGGCTCGAGCTTGGCTCGAGTCAGCGGACGTTCGACGCAATCTCGGCACGGGCGTTTTCTGCCGCTGCTGGCAGTCGGAGGGTTCAACACACTCCACTCCCTGGTAAAGTCATTCGCGGGGTCCAGAGCTCCCCCCGCCCTCTTCCGCGGGAAAATGATTCGAGGGTTCCAGAACACCCCCTGGCAACGACGACGACGACGCCGATGACGACGTCGCCGACGACGACGACGGCGACGGCGACGGCGAGGGCGACGACGCCGACGCCGACGCCAACGACGACGACGATGACGAAGACGACGACGACGCGTACGACGACGCGTACGTCGACGCGTACGACGACTCCAGCGACGACGATCGAGCCCTAGTGGGATGCGATTAATGCTGGAGCGAGTTCTAGGATTCTATCAGAGCTGGTCTAGCCCTGAGAGGATTCTATTAGAGCTGGAACCACCCCTAGCAGAATTCGATTGCATATGAACCGAGCCCTTGTAGGATTCGGTCGGAGCTGGAACCAACATTACAGCGAATTTGCATTCATGCTGGATCGAGCTTCTTTTGAGTCCCATCAGACATGGATCCAACCTTGATGATATTCTATTAGAACAGGACCCAGCCATAGTAGGCTTCTATCAGAGCTGGATCGAGCCTGAGTCGGATTCTATTAGCTCTGGATTCAATTTTCGTAGGATTCGATTTGAGTTTGATCGAATCCTAATCGGATTCCATCAAGTATGATTCGAGCCCTTGTAGGATTCTCAGAGAGCTTGATCGACCCCATGAAGGATGTTCTCAAAGCTGGTTAAGCCTTAGCAGGATTCTGTTAGAACTGGATCGAGCCTTAGTATGATTCGATTACAGCTGGATCCAGTCCTAGCAGGATTCTGAGAGAGAGAGAGAGAGAGAGAGAAAAAGAGAGCTGGATCGATCCCCAGTACGATCCGAGTATGGCTGGGTCCAGTTCCATAAGTTTGTCGAATCTCGCTAGATCTGTCCCCAGTGGGATTCTATTTGAGCTGGATTGACCCCTAGTGAGATGCTTTTAGAGTCGGTCTCACGCATCAAGCATACGGAAAGAGCCTTAGTACGACTCCAATCTAGCTGGATCCAGTAGGCGTGCATCCAGGACTTCATGACAGCTGGATCGTGCCTATGTATGATTTTTGTAAGGTCCATCCAGCCCTTTGCAATTTTCCAACGCCTCACGTGAATCCGTTTATCTCAACCCACGTCCGGGCCTTGCTTCTTCTTGGCCGTTTTCGGACCGATTCGATTTAACCAAGCCTTGCTTGCTTCCAACCTTATTGTGAGAGCTGGATCCAGCCCTAGCATCCGGATTCTAGTAGAGCTGGATCCAGGCCTAGAGACAGCTGGATTGAACCGTGGTGGCATTTTCTTATCGCTGGTGCAGACCTGGCGCCTGGCGCGGGCGTTGATGACAGGTGCGCCGCCGCTGACGTTGTCGCCGCCGTCGGCATCGTCGTACGCGTCGTCGTAATCGTTGTCGTAAGCGTCGTCGTCGTTGTTGCCAAGGAGGGCGGGGGAGGATTCTGGACTCCCCGCAGAATTTTCCAGGGGAGGATGGTAAGGGAAGTTGGGGGTCACTTGGTTTCCAATATTTTTCTGATTCTTGTTTAATGGGGGAGGGAGGGCCTTGGTTTATGTTCCCTCCTTATAATATATTTTTTGGCCAGCGGTGGTGGATCGCGCTCCCTCCAACATCGACGCGCAAGCGGAGCGAGTGGCTCCAAGGGGTTCCCACAAAAGAACATCAACTTTGCTATCCCCGACGTGCGTTTTTTTCACCACGCGGATCCCCAGGGGTCTCGGCCTGTTCCCCAGGATTGGCTTTTCTCCTGGAGTCGTTTTTTGACGGCCCCAAGGCCTGGCGAGTGCACCCAGAGGCCGAAACTGGCGAAGACTTCCCGTCGTTATTTTTTCTAGAGCGCGTGGATGTCTGGGGTGGGGTTATTTTTTTGTCGGCGGCGCGCCCGGGGAAACGTGTGCACGGGCGGGGGGTCTAAGAAGCCTCGGAAGGCTTCGGGCTTTCTGGTAAGTTTCTGAGCCTTCCCGAAGATGCAAGAGACTTCTCAGAAGGCCGGGGGATTCTGAGAAGCCCCGCCGCCTTTGAAACGGCCTGATCTTTCTCTATTCCCCCCCGTTCTCGATGCCGATCTTTTGCACCCCGAAGGAGGAGGACGTGGAACGGTCCTTGGCCAGACTCTTTACCCAGAAGCTGGCCAGCCGCCCGTCGGACGCTGGTAGCCAGGCTGACCTGGCGGCGCTGGCGCGGAGCCCGGCTCTTGGGCGACGAGATCTACGCTGGCTTGCGTATTTGAAGTGGGGGTGATTGACCTTCTGCGGAGCGGGCCCTCCCCCCCCCATTCCTCCTTCCTCCTCACCCTACCCCTCCTCCTGCTCTCCCCCTCCCTCACTCAAATAGGAGGGCTCGCCGCTGTTTGGTCCGAGCGTCGACGCATATCTGTATATTGTACGGAGAGTTGAGCAGTGCATTTAATTGCACCAAGACCGTCAATTACTGCGTATTTTTGTTTTTTTGAGGGGTTTCGGAGGCGCGGAAAAGGGTGCTGGGAGGGGGGGCCGCCGCGAGCATTGGGGCCTGCAAAACCAAATTCGCCTGACGAAGGACCCAACCATATGCAGTTGCAAGTACCACAAGGCAGGTTGAACGAACGAGAGGGAACTTTCTATGGGGCCACGAAAAGTTTGAGGGGTGTGCCGACATGTGCGCGGTGGGCGCATACGAACGCAGCCACTGGTGCCTTCGGTGGAGCTCCCTGTGGGGCCACGAAACGTGCAAGAGGTGTGCCGACATTGGTGCTGTGGGCGCATTGGAACGCAGCCACTGGGGCCTTCGGTGGAGCTCCCTGTGGGGCCACGAAACGTGTGAGGGGTGTGCCAGAATGGGTGCGGTGGGCGCATGCGAGCGCAGCCACTGTGGCTTTCGCTGGGACTCCCTGTGGGGCCACGAAACGTGTGAGGGGTGTGCCGAAATGGGTGCGGTGGGCGCACGTGAACGCAGCCACTGTGGCCTTCGGTGGAGCTCCCTGTGGGGCCACGAAACGTGTGAGGGGGTGTGCCGAAATGGGTGCGGTGGGCGCATGCGAACGCAAGAATTGGAGCCTTCGGTGGAGCTCCCTGTGGGGCCACGAAACGTGTGAGGGGGTTGCCGAAATGGGTGCGGTGGGCGCATGTGAACGCAGCCACTGGTGCCTTCGGTGGAGCTCCCTATGGGGCCACGGAACGTGTGAGGGGCGTGCCGAAATTGGTGCGGAGGGCGCATGTGAACGCAGCCATTGTGGCCTTCGGTGGAGCTCCCTGTGGGGCCACGAAACGTGTGAGGGGTGTGCTGACGTAGGTGCGGTGGGCGCACGTGAACGCAGCCACTGGCCTTCGGTGGAGCTCCCTGTGGGGCCACGAAGCGTGTGAGGGGTGTGCCGAAGTGGGCGCGTGTGAACGCAGCCACTGGTTCCTTCGGTGGAGTTTCTTATGAGGCCAAGAAACGTGTGAAAGGTGTGCCGAAATGGGTGCGGTGGGCGCATGCGAACGCAAGAATTGGAGCCTTCGGTGGAGCTCCCTGTGGGGCCACGAAACGTGTGAGGTGTGTGCCGAAATCGGTGCGGTGGGCGCACGTGAACGCAGCCACTGTGGCCTTCGGTGGAGCTCCTTGTGGGGCCACGAAGCGTGTGAGGGGTGTGCCGAAATGGGTGCGGTGGGCGCATGCGAACGCAGCCATTGCTGCGTTCGGTGGAGCTCCCTATGGGGCCACGAAACGTGCGAGGGGTGATGGTGATGATGATGAGGATGGCCTTCGGTGGAGCTCCCTTTGGGGCCACGAAACGTGTGAGAGGCGTGCCGAAATAGGTGCGGTGGGCGCATGTAAACGCAGCCATTATGGTTTTCGGTGGAGCTCCCTGTGGGGCCACGAAACGTGTGAGGTGTGGGCCGAAATTGGTGCGGTGGGCGCATGTGAACGCAGCCATTGTGGCCTTCGGTGGAGCTCCCTATGGGGCCACGAAGCGTGTGAGGGGTGTGCCGAAATGGGCGCGGTGGGCGCATGCGAACGCAGCCACTGTGGCTTTCGGTGGGGCTCCCTGTGGGGCCACGAAGCGTGTGAGGGGTGTGCCGAAATGGGTGCGGTGGGCGCATGTAAACGCAGCCATTATGGCCTTCGGTGGGACCCCCTGTGGGGCCACGAAACGTGTGAGGTGTGTGTGCCGAAATCGGTGCGGTGGGCGCATGTGAACGCAGCCATTGTGGCCTTCTGTGGAGCTCCCTGTGGGGCCCAAAACGTGTGAAGAGTGTGCCGAAATGGGTGCGGTGGGCGCATGTGAACGCAGTCACTGTGGCCTTCGGTGGAGCTCCCTATGGGGCCACGAAGCGTGTGAGGGGTGTGCCGAAGTGATGATGATGGTGATGATGATGATGGTGACGGTGATGCTGATGATCGGGATGCTGATGATGGGGAGGGGGAGGGGGGGGCAGCGGGAGGAAGGACGCGGGCGCTGTCTGTTCAAAACGAGGGCCCAACACCAGAGGATAGTTGGGAAAAAACCAAACAACAGCAAACATACATATTGTTTCCTTGCATTCCAGACAACAAACCCAAGCACCCAACCTACACAGTGCTTCCTTGCACTGAAGGCACCAAACGCTGTCTGGTATTGCTTCTGTATTGCTGGGAGGAGGAGGAGGAGGAGGAGGAGGAGGAGAGGAGGAGGAGGAGGAGGAGGAGGAGGAGGAGGAGGAGGAGGAGGAGGAGGAGGGGAGGAGGAGGAGGAGGAGGAGGAGGAGGAGAGGAGGAGGAGGAGGAGGAGGAGGTTCACCGCCCATAGAGGGAGAGTCAAGGGGAGAGAAATGACAATTGGGGTGGGGGCGCCCTTCAGACGAGAACTTTTTGTTCCCGCCCGAGGCTGTGACCCACTTCGGACGGGCCCTGCCGACAGGGCCCCCCACCCCCCAGAAACTTATCCTTCAGCCTCTGGGTCCGCGGCACCCGCAGAAGCTCGGTCCAGGAGCACCTGTCGACCAAGCACCTCGGCCTCCTCTCGGGAGCTGAAGCCACAAGCGAGCAGCACGGAATCAATGCCGAGGCGAGGCGCCACAGCTTGCTTCGAAAACGGGACGACCCTCGGCGCTCTTGGAGCCGACGCCGCCCCGACAGGGGCCTCCCCCAAATGCCTTGAGAAACGGCCCCTGGTCTCCGCCGACGCCCTGAAGGCCCGGGCGCCACCTGAGGGTGAGCCACAGGGTGAAAACCTTCACGCAGCATTTTCCTGACGGTGTACGCCGACCCCCCCGAGATCTTCTTGGGCCCCTTGCATGGCCCAGTGAGACCTCGCTGCATGGGGATGGTCGCATACTGCCAGCAGGACGGGCAATCAATTATTGGAACGTCATCTGGCACCGAGCTCTTATCAATACAGTGACCGTTCACACGCCAGGGCTGGACACCCTTGCCCCGAAGCCATTCGGGGTCTTCTGAGGCGGGCCCTGGATGATCCCCAGCAGGCGCAGCAGCAGGAGGCTCGAGAGGAGGGAGGGCCATATCGTGGGACTCCGCCTCAGGAACATCTGGAACCGCAAAACCGTGGTAGTCAACAGTCCCCAAGTCGATTTTCTTGAGGTAATCAACTCCCGCATTGTCGCGGGTGCCCGCCGTGGCCATCGAGGCCGACAACTGGGCCGAAAACTTGGCCGCAAGCCTGGCGATCAACTGGCACCATTCGGCAAATTCAACATCTGCCGTGGCGGCTCTCGCTGAGGCCGCTCCTTTTTTCGCGAAGCTATCTGCAGCATTGTTGCCGTCTCGGTCGAACGCCGAGATCTGATCGCGCTCAACCGCAATGGCCGACGTGTGGGCCTTGACGTGCTCGAGAGACCGAGCACAACAATCCTGTCGCACATGCACCTGCCTCCACAGGTGGGCTCGCGGGTTGCACGGGGACGTGGACATTCGGGGCGACTGACAGCAGCTTAGTGTACCTTTGCAATCGGCCCTGACTGAATACAAACCCAGAAGGCACTGGGAACACATTAGCATCGCAAAGTCTCCTCCATCTCGGGCCGTGCCCGTGATTCCAAACCCTGGTGGCACAGCTCCGAACATGGCACCGACATGGCGCCTATCACTATCGTGGGCTACAACACTCCAACCCGCTACTCGCGAGGTCGGCTGATGTTGATCAAGCCCCGAGCCATCCGTGAAAGCAAACCCTCCATCCAGGAGGTAGGGCAGCCCGAGGGATCCCCAGACGCAGCGCCCCCAGCTCGGATCGAAAGGTGGTCGACGCACACGCGCTGGCCAGGCTCAGGAAACAATCCTCGCGCGGACCTTTCCTTCCCAGTTGGAGAGGGCCATCATTGATTCTGGCAACAGACCTGCACAGCCCTCATTGGCATGTAATCTCTCCGAGACTGCTCAGGACCAGGGCATGCGTAGCATCCGTGACACATCGCGCCCCTTTCTCTTCCTGGCGCAGCTGGGAGACCTCGGGGATCGTCCGCTCCCGATCGTGGGAGCCTGCCTCGGGCCCAGAGAGACCCTGACATCAGCCCCCGAAGCGCGTCCTGCTCGCGGCGGCCCGGGGTCTCCGACCAGTCCGAACACGGCAGCTCCAGGAGGGGCCTCCGGCGCAAATGCGCGGCCCGCGCGTCGTCCTGCGGCCCGAGAGCCCCTCCTCCTCCTCCTCCTCCTCCTCCTCCTCCTCCTCCTCCTCCTCCTCCTCCTCCTCTTCTGCTATCCGAGGCCCTTCGCGCCGAGAACGAGATCTAAGACGCGATGCAAGCCGGCGAGAACAATCGGAGGTCCCACTCCGCCCCCCGATCGTCAACCGCCGTCGCA